AGAATGTAAAGGGAAAAAGTCTCATATTGGTGAAAAGATAAACTTTGCGGGTTATATGATGTTGGGTTACTCCTTATATTGTCAATTTTTTTGTAAACAATATTATCTACACTAAAGGGGGAGGAGGTGAGCTAAGCCTCACAATGGGCTAGCAATATGTTGGGAAATATTTTTTTTTTTTAAGTAGGTCTAGTGATATTTCTCTTCGCTTAATTGTAAGTGAGAGGTTAAGTTCGATTCTTACCGAAGGTGAATTTTAACCACATTATTATGGGTAACCCCAATGTGAGGCTTAGCCCATTCCCCCACTTCCTTAGCATAGATAATATCGTTTGTTAATTAAAAAAATAAAAAAATAAAGTTAATAATAAAGTGAACTTAGATGAGTGGGATTTAATAAAACAAAGGATAAATTAAATTTTACCCCCTTAGGTTTGGGTATAATCGCAACCTCATACATCATCTTTAAAATATTTCAATTTCATACATTTACTTATTATTTTTTGTAATTTTATATATCCGTTAATCAAACTGTCAATTTAACCATTAAGTAATAACATGACAAATATAATATCTATTTATTTTAATGACGTGACAAATAAAAATAACTAAATAGTAAAAAAATCAATTTAAAAATAAGGGGTACCCTCACTTATGATTTCTGTTTAGGTTATCGAGATTATCAATCTTTTCAATAGGGAGGAATAGCGGTTAATGAGTATTGATTCCTTGTAATGACAAAAACAAACATGTATTTGATCAGTATATATTCGAATAAATATGGGCTCTTCACAAATAAGTTCCTCAAAGCTCCACTTCATAGTTAAAAAAACACGTGATTGGCGTTTGATTTGCAAGTTAGAGTTCTGGGAGTATGATCGAGACGCCATTACCGTGTTTTGGTAAACATAATGTTAGGATCAATCTAAATGATTCTGATTTGCCATCTTTTGCTGGAAAGTCTTCGTATGATTCTGATTTTCCATCTTTTGCGGTGCCACGTCGTAGAAAATGCTTGTTCCTGACAGCCAAAGTGATGGCTCTTCGTCTTTGACTGAGCAGTTGGGAGCTACAAGTACAGTTTCAGAGGATTCTCAGGTTTATGATACCCATCTGCATGCATGCCAGTTATGTTCTGTGGTCTCAATTAAAATATTATGCTTTCAATTCGAGGGAAGAGTGGATTTCATTTCTACTTGGAGCTCCAAGAGACAAACGGCAGCAAATCAGAACGGAGAAGATTGCGGTGAACTGGGTTAAGACGAGAATTTTAATTTTTTTATTATGTTTTAATAATACTTAACAGTGCCAGTGCTTTGTCAAACTTAAATGTAAAGACACGTGTGCAAAATTAACACTTTAAAACCATAAAGTGGGAATTTAACATCCATATGTCGGGCATAACACACAAAGTCGTAGATATTTCATTTATTGGTGAACCAAATGGTCCATAGCCCCCAAAGGTAAACTTCATGAGAAGGCATTTCTTGTATTGTGGGCAACATAGACCTGCTGGTTCATTATTTTTTTTAACAATAATTAAACAAGACTTCTGATGTTGCTGCTGCTTGATCAGTTTGACCATTATCATTTTTTAAGTTACGTTTCAAGTTGATAGATGCACAACAAAGATATTTGTTCCTCGTAGAACTACTACAAGAATTCTCGAGTGCGTAAGGCTGACTCGCATATACATGGTTAAGGTTTAACAAAGCAAGATATTTTACTTTTACATGTGTGAAATTTATTTTTTAGACAAATTACAGTTTGACAAGTGTGTAAGACTTTTTTTTTATTTTTTTATTTTTTTTGTTGAGTTTATTAAGTTACTTTTATATGTGTCAAAATGCTCTTTTTATTTGCGAGGAGTCGAACATTATTCTTTAACGTATATGTAAAGTTCATAATCCAAATGTAATAGATGTACAGGTTTGTAATTTGATTTTGATTAATATCATGCCCTCTTGAATACATTTGCTTTTCATATTTAGATTGAATAAATAAATAATTTCATTTAGCTTTGTTCGTAATGATCTGATATCAAACATTCACGAAACTAAGGAGGCTTTCAAAAGTAATTAAAATAAACTAGGAAAGCTGCAAAAACAAAACCAGCCTGAAATAAACCTACAATGAACAAGCTCCTAAGTTTTCAAACTAAAGATTTTTTTGGGGTTAGGGTGACAATGCCACATAATGTTAGAATCATACATATTGTACACATGTATTTATTCATTACTTGATTTTTCAGTGTGACTGCTACACTATTATGTAGTGTTGCAATTTCACATATTATATACGTGTATTTATTTACTTAATCTCTCAATGCACCTGTCACACTATCAAGTGGTTTTATAATCACGCATTTGCAATACGTGTATTTATTTACTATTACTACGCCCTAAGCTGGGAAAGTATAAACCCTATAGTTCACAAGTTTGAGCATCATAGATGAGCTTGACCTTGCATTGTAGGTGGTTTTGTGTGAGGTCACCGTTGATGGTGGGTCATGAATGTTATGTGAGAGGAGGGTGAGACATAAATGAGGTTGGGTGAACATGGAAAATAGTGAAGGGGGGGAGTACGGAAATTTTGTGTGTGAGGACCAGACAAGCCAACTGGTTGGGGTCCGTACGTTAGAATTTCTTCTTGCACTGACCATCAAGTCAAAATAGACGAAGGATGAAACAGAAACTTGATCAAAGATCAGAAAATCAGCAAATGGAAGGTGAAATGTGTCTTACAGAGAAATAAAAAATAAAGAAAAATCTCACAAGCCTAAAATAAAGAAAAATCTCACAAGCCTTAACATAAAGCAAAGGATAAAGAAGATGAACATAGCACATTATTCCAAGAAACAGTTCAGCTTATTTATTTTGCTCAACCCTAAGGTACAAAAGTATTAATAACCCACAAGCGAATATAACGTTCCTACGACTTTCAACATACAACACATCATTACTATGAGAAAACACATTGTATACACCCGTTGTATGCCGAAACTTCTTTCACAGGTACATCAACATTTAAATGGGCACTAAAAATAAAAAAAGGGCCTTTGGGGACGATCAAAACGCGTCGCAAAAGCATCATAAAGCGTCACAATAGCCCATTTTACGACAGGCTTGCGACGGCCAATAACGCGTCGCATCAAAGTGGTGTCGTAAATGTTTGGTCGATTATATGCGACGCTTTGAGCACGTCACAAGTACTATTTACTACAGGCTTGCGATGGCTACCTACACGTCGCAAATAAGTGGCCTCGGGTTTAAAAAAAAAAAAAAATTGGGCATCAAATAGGACACCACAATGACATTATTTTAACAACTTCACTAAAATTATTTTATGTGAAATTTACTACAGGTTCCAAACTAAAATGAATTATGTAAATTTGTATAAACTACATACGAATTGTTATTAATAATGAACCATAAATTAGGTAAATTATAATACAATGTATTATTATCATATGGAGTACCAACAAAAGTATGAAAGCAACACTGCACTTGTACTTAAAGTTAGTTGAATGGTCGTATCTGTGACATCCCACATCATCCAGGAGAGTGATCCTTATATGCATATTCCCATCCCTACCTAGTACGAGGCATTTTGGGAGCTCACTGGCTTCGGGTTATATCGAAACTCCGACGTTAAGCGAGTAGCGCACGAAAGCACTCCTATGATGGGTGACCCATTAGGAAATTCTCATGTGAATTCCCAGAAACAAAACTGTGAGGGTGTGCTAGGGGCCCAAAACGGACAATATCGTGCTACAGTGGAGTCGGGCCCAGAAAGTGGTCCCGCCCGGGCCCGGATATGACAATTTGATATCAGAACCTAACCCTAGCCGCTTGTGTGCCGACGAGGACGTCGGGCCCCTAAAAGGGGTGAATTGTGACATCCCACATTGCCCATGGGAGTGATCCTTATGGTATTGTTTGGTATGCAGACGGGACAGGACGGGACGGGACAAGACGGAACGGAACTGAGCGGGAGCAAAGATGTCTTCGAATGGAAACAAGGAGGAAGAAGAAGACAGAAAGGTTATAATTTTATGTTCCACGGATGTGGAACGAGTCGTTTCAGGGAGGTGAGGTGGAACGAAAATTCAACTAAAACTCGTCCCGTGGAACAGCTCGTTCCACCCATTTTAAGCGCACCAAACGTGGGACGGAACGCTTTGTCCCACTCTGTTCCATCCCGTCCCATGTACCAAACGGTACCTATATGTATATTCTCATCCCTACCTAGCACAAGGCTTTTTGAAAGCTCACTAAATTGTCACATCCCGGCCCGAGCAGGACCACTTCTCGGGCCCGACTTTACCGTAGCACGATATTGTCCGCTTTGAGCCCCAACACACCCTCACAGTTTTGTTTCTAAGAACTCACACGAGAACTTTCCAATGGATCACACATCATGGAAATGCTCTCGCGCGCTACTCGTTTAACTTCGGAGTTCTGATATAACCAAAAGCCAGTGAGCTTCCAAAAGGCCTCGTGCTAGGTAGGAATGAGAATATACATATAACGATCACTTCCCTGAATGATGTGGGATGTCACAGTATCGATTATAGTATTATACACCAATGGCATCATTTAGTCCTTATCTAGAACTTGCAACAAGTGACATTTTTTAAACAGATTGCGAAGCTCTTGACATATATGAACACACAGCACTAGAAACAGATTGCAAAGCTCCTAAGACATATGAACACAACACTAGAAACAGATTGCAAAGCTCCTGAAACATATGAACACATAGCATAAGTAAAATTATACATGACCAACTTGTAAGGGAGACAAAGTTGACACTCATATCACCTTTGAATATTTCAGCTTTCCATGGAATTCATTGTAATCTCCCTCTTTAAGTGCCCTCAAACAACTGAATTTTTACAAGAGGAACACACAACATTTTCGAAGATACTTAAACACTAACATATATGACGATTTCTTCACTTATACGGGACATTCCTATTGCAAATAGTATATCAGATATATCAGGAAAATTGGTACTTGTAGAATTAAACTAGCAAGAAAAATGGCTAACCAGAATGTCAAACATGTCCATTGCATACAAATCCTAATGATTTGAGAGCTCAACTTTCATTACCATCACCACAACACAAGAAAAAAAACATATCCAAATATAAGAATATTCATATGTTTTGAATATAATTTATCTTTGGGACCTTGGACGGTACTATACACAGAGACATCCTCGAAGCAGTGTGATTAACAAAACTCTCCACCATACCCTGAATGAATTGGAAACCTAGTTGAAATTACACATTTCATCCAACTCTGTGACCAAAAATTGATCATATTTTCACAATGAAGAAAAGAGCATTCTACCCAAGCACTAACTAAATGAATTCAATTTCCCCCAAACTTCTTTCTGGTCCAAATGTTCTAACTGTTCAAAATCAATTTTCCTAATCCCAACAGCAGTACACTAACATTTACCCTATTTTGCCGTTCTACCCAACTTAAGGACAACTAGTTTTCTCAATATAATCAAACTAATGCACTGATTGAAAGAAGTACAATCGCAAACAGATTTATACTAGCAAATTTCAGTTCCATAATAATCAAATTCTATCACATATTTTCATAATTTAAATACTAAAATAGAAGATAATTGGTAAAATTAATACCTTGCAAATAGAAAATTCTCAAATTCCACTGCCCAGCATGATCTCCCAATTTCGCAGCTTTCTGATACAAAGCAATGACCTTCTCCTTCAAACCCCTCCCCAGTATATGAGCCTGGTGTCCACCATAGCCATGGGGGACCTAGAAGCCGCACCCCTCAGAAACGCGTCGAGCGCCTTGTTCATATTCGGACTGACTCATCCGCAACCGTGCTTGAACCGCTTCCTCCACCGCATGTACATCATCACCTGCCTCAGCTGCTGCAGCGCCTCGCACGAAGCCTTGCACACCAACAACGGCGCTCAGGCTCGGATGGCTGAGCGTCGGCCCGATTCAGCAAGCATAAAAATCAATTCAAAAAGAAAACCCTAAAAATTACTTAACTTACTGAATCAGACAAGAGGGAAGATGGTTGTAGTGTCTTACAAAATCTCCGATTGTGCTCCGGGATCTCCAATTTTGCTAAAAAGTTTCCGATGATTCCCCCAAAATCTCTTATTGGATAGATTAGGCCTCTTATTTTTCGGTCGAATAGGAAAGTGGAAAAGGTGCAGAGAGAGAAGGATGATTCTAGAGAATGAAAATGAAGCCGCGTTGGATTGTTTTCATCGAAAAATAAAGCGCCAAATCGAAAAATTAAAAAATTTAGGCGTTATATTTTATTCTATCGTTTAGGGTGTCACAAACTTTTCTCAACGTCGTTTATAATGTTATTTGAAACATTATTTGCGACGTTACTTATACAAGAGTCGGAAATACTTTTGAGCTAACATTTAGCGTTCAAATTTTCTTTTGTTTGCGATGGCCATGTTATCTGTCGCAAAAAAAGTGCCGCAGAAGGGCCTTTTTCTTGTAGCACCAAAGTGGAGAACCCTCTTCCAAGATGGTCTGTTGCTAATGTCATCCCACCAAGCAGAGACATGCTTTCTGTCCCTAATCATATACTCCTTCCCCATATGAGCCCCCAAGTAGTAAGTGAATGGAAGGTGGCTAAGATCAGCAAGGCTGAAGAAATCACCGGCCAAGTACTTGCTCTTCGACAGCCGCTCCTCGTAAATATCCAGCACTTTTCCCAGCTTTTCCTCACTTTCTTGAATGATCTTGGAGTCTGAAGGAAAACCCAAAACTGAGGCAAACAGAATATGAAGGACCAAGTTGTAGATTAGTGGGTGCAAGTTGTGTGCTTCAACTTCCAGCCATTGCTTCCCACCAAATTAGTCCCTTGTGATTTGTATTTTTCTGCGTAGTATCTTATGATTGCACGTGATTCTACAAATCAAAGACGATTTAATCAAAAAACTGGTAAAATTTTCATAGAGACGGACCAGCGGGTTTCTATCTCAAAAGATGTAGTGGAGTCACTAATATGTGTTGTATTTTATTTTGTCAGGTTTTCGATGTCCGACTTTACATTCTTAAACAAGAACTTGTTAAATAATTGATGTAAAGAAGTCAATGAACAAGTGTATTGTAAAGCAAAATTTTATAACTAACTTGCTTCACAAACGTTCCAATGGCAATCTGATGCTTGATACAGTTTCAAATGAAGAACTGAAGTAAACCACAAAAGGGAAATCTCAAAAGATGATAAATCTTTGCGGCTGAGATGGTTAAGAGCGTTCACCTTTGCAAATGAGATCCCGAGTTTCATTTCCCTACCACTGTCGCTTGTATCACAGATATAAAACAATAAAAAAAAATCATGAGCTAGCAAGAAAGCAGAGTATACCATATAAAGTATAATCCCCATCTTGAATGAGAGGAACTGATCCAAATGGCTGCATTTAAAGAAAATATAATTTTCAGAGTGTTTAAGAGTAAAACAATCACAAACAATTGGATTAAATGGTGATTAATTTGCTAACCTGTAATTTAAGGAAATCAGGGTGTCTGTGCTCTCCCTTGAGGAGATCAATGGGGACTGTCTCAAAGTCCACCTCTTTCTCTACAAGGCATACCGGCACACGCTTTGGGGAGGCGTACAGAAGGCCATACACCTTCACCACCATTGTTGTGATATTTCAATGTAAAAACCAAAGAATTTGGATCAAAGTCTGCAAACTCCAGTTTCTGGTTCTTTACTTCCTGTATAGATATAAGTAAAATTCTCTCACCTCTTAGTTTTTCTTCCTTCTTATTTAAATGGTTACAATTAAATCACGTTAATATTTTGTGTTAATTTTTTAATAACTAAAAGAAGACAAAAAAATAATTTATAAAAGAATGGAAAATAAGGGGATGGAATAGAAGGAGTGAGAATTCTACTCCATAAATATAAAGCGTGATGTGATGCTAATGTCACGCCAACAATTGGAGTGGAAGGTAGGTGGGGGTGTTTACATCACATGCATACATCCATCCATTTGTAGGTTCCCAAAGGTGGAAAAAGAACCGGAAGACTGGGGTGCTCACATCACATGCATACATCAATCCATTTGTAGGTTCCTAAAGGTAGAGCAGGAAACCAAGAGAAATTTTTTATTATGATCAAAATACGAGTGGTGTGCCACATATTTTTATATAAGTGATGAAAATTTTTATTTTTTAAGTTATTAACATTTTAATACACATATCATAATATTTGTATAGTAACACGTAATGTATTATTCATATTTCAATCACACTAAAAAATTTGACGGGGGTGCACACGTAATGTTGCTTTCACCAACGTTCCTCTTACAATGACTTCTCGCATCATATTTTTTACGTGACAATACTGCGAGGCAAACATATACACTCGTTGCATTCACCAAACTGGAGAACCTTCTTCCAAGATGGTCTGCTGCTAATATCATCCCACCAAGCAGAGACATGCTTTCTGTCCCTTATCATATACTCCTTCCCCATACTATTTGCCAAGTAGTGGGTGAACGGAAGGTGGCTAAGATCAGCAAGGCTGAAAAAATCACCGGCCAAGTACTTGCTCTTCGACAGCCTCTCCTCGTAAATGTCCAACACCTTGCCGACCTTCTCTTCACTCTCCTGGATTATCTTCGGGTCTGAAGAAATTCCCATCGCCGATGCAAACAAAATGTGCGTGACTATGTTGTCGAGTGGCTGGTGATAGTTGCTTGCTTCAACCTCTAGCCACTGTTCCACAAGACCTCTTTCCTCCATCGTCTTTCCTAATAACTCAGTCCCTTGGGACTTATATTTTTCTGCGTAGTACCTTATGATTGCACGTGATTCTGCAAATCAAATTTGAACGGTTATATCAAAGAACTTGCTAGATCATTACATTTATGCAGGAAATAAAAAGGAGAACAAGATTTTCATAAAACAATTTGCACAAAAGAGTACAGGTAGCATATATTCAAGCAATAAATGAGAAGTAAGAAAGAGCATGGACTGCAATAAGAACTTATGAAGGACAAACTTAAAATGCAATTATGAGCCAAAGAGTCAGGATAAAAGGAGTAGAGGATGACGTACGTAGAAAGACTTGGAAAGAAAATTTGAGAAAATATATGGGATACTTAGAACTAACGAAAGACTTTACACAAAACTGAGCACAATGACGTTTTAGTATTCAATAAAATTGACCCCACTTAATGAGATAAGACTTTATTGTTGTATGTTGTGATTAGTAATCAAGCTTTTTAGATTAAACAAAAGTAAATTTATAAAACATAATTACTGGGGTGAATACTACATAACCCTGGCAATGCAGTTATCTGGTCTAAAGCACAATCACCTTCAACTTACATCTCAAACAAAGAAAACCCAATCCACAAATTAATATTTATCATCTGCAAGTAAGGAAGGAAAAAATTAAAATTAAAACCGGCATACCAAATAATGTATAATCTCCATCTTGTATGACAGGAACTTGTCCAAAGGGCTACAATAATCAAAGGCAAAGCAATGCAGACAAGATCAATATATACTCCGAAAAAGATTATGGTAGGCAAATAACAACTAACAATTGATTGAATAGCTAACGCTAACCTGTAATTTGAGAAACTCAGGATTTCTTTGTTCACCCTTGAATATATCCATGGGGATGGTCTCAAAATCAATCTCCTTCTCAACAAGGCACACTAGCACACGCTTCGGCGAAGGGTATACAGGGCCATACACCTTTACCACCATTGCAAATGTTGTTGAAAATTGCTAAACCGAGAATTTCGTCTGTGCAGAAAGGACTTTGGTGTCCAGTTCTTATATAGACTCTCCAGTTCTTTAGTGGAAGACACTGTATCCCATTTGCTTTGATAAACAATCAGCTCATCAAAAAGGGAAGTATAAAACAATAATTAAGGAGAAAAGACAGAGAAATTAGTCAATTACCAAAGGTAGGTGGCTACTAAGGTAGTGGCTATGATGGTGGCTGGTAGTAGATTTTTCAATGTGTCAGAAACAATATCTGATACATCAAGTATTATAATATAAGTAGTTTAAATTTTTTTAAAGTATCCAATCACTTATATTGTATTATGACACTTGAGGTACCTAATCGCTTTTTCAGCGTACTGAAAAATCTCTCCCCTTAAATGTGCTCTTATTTGAAATTATGCTTGACTAGGAAATGCCAATCGTTAAAGTCTAATATCATATTATAGGAACACCGAAATATGCCTTCAACTAGGATTATAATAAAAACCGAATGATGCCCCTAAGACAGCCTTGCTTAAAAAAAAAGGTGTAGTATAGGGCCCCCACAGGACCAATGTGTCCAAAATCTCCAGAAAATATGCCTTCAACTAGAATTATAATAAAAACCCAATTATGCTCCTAAGACAACCTTATTTATTTTATTTTTTTAACAAACAATATTTATTTAAACTAAAATGTGAGAAAGTTGACTAAGCTTCTCTAAACAGCTTTAGTAAAAAAAAATTAAAATTACAAAATAAATTGAAAAAATGTTTGAAATTAGGTGCATAAACTAGTATTAGGGGTGATTCAGTATGGGATACCGAACCGAAATCTTAGTCCCGATTCCCAAACCAAAACTTTTGGGATTCTCAATTTCAAGACCTATCCCAAACCAAATTTTCGGGAATCCCGATATAGTTTTGGTATTTTCGGGACAATGGGAATCCCGAAATATTTTTGAGCTTTTCGGCTTTTCAGCTATAATAACTTGGTTGTGGCTGTGCAGTGTGCAGAATAGCAAATCTGCACTGCATATCTTGGCAGTGCAGTGATCAAAATTTGGCTGGGCTATAACTTGGTTGTGCCTGTGGAGTGTGCAGAATAGCAAATCTGCACTGCATATCTTGGATGTGCACTGCATATCATATCTTGGCTGTGCAGTGAAGTGATCATCAAAATAAATTAACAATCTGCTGCCTATTCTACACTACCAATTTGCCTATTCTACTACAAATACATGCAACAAAAATAAATTAACAAATCCAAAAACAGAGTTTACTAGGTTCCTTCAGAATTTCTTCTACAACTGACATAATTTGAGTCAAAGAAGCGGGATATGAACTTATAGCTGACATGTGTGCAAGTGTTCCCATGAGTGAGGATCTATGCATGTGTAAACAGTTTAAAAGCACAGATAATGTCATGCTCTGATGACCATTCCAGCAGCATTACGTTATGAGCAAAATTTCTTTTACCTTGTAAACATAACGAACCGTTCAAATCAAGGTTTCTTTTCTTGTTCTAAATAGTAAAAGAAATCATGATTTCACACTAGGAAGGATAAATCTTACACAATTCATATTGGAGATGCATTCGCATAGCCTATAAGAATATATACATAACCATAATTGGTTGAAAAGAACGAATGGGGTACCTCGCTAAAATCCATATAAATGAATTCAAGTAGACAATCAAGATAATTGATTTCTATAAAGAGAAACCATCAAAGCTCACAACTAACTGGTAGAAGACAAGGATCCTAAACACGATAAAAAGAAGGAAAACATTTTACAAGGAACAAAGAAACAAAAGTAAAAAAGCTCTGATTGCAGAAGGCATTTTAGAAAACACTAGTCATAGTGCCCGCGCGTTGCTGCGGGTGTTATAAGTGTATAAAACATGTAAAAAGTTGGACATTAAACTACAAAATAATGAGCAAAATTAGTGTTTTCAATATCTAAGTCTCTGCCAAAATGATCTTGGATCTTCAGCTCATGCTGTAAACCTGGGTACTAAAACAATGTAAATTATTGAAACAATGACAATAAATAATGTCACCTGAATTTCATCTAGGTTTGATCTAGATTTGAACTACATGCTAATGATCTAAATGAAAGAAGGTAATGGTAACAGTAGAAATTGGTTTGAATTTCTGATGTTTAATTTTTTAGACCACTATGCCTATTATATTTGTAGTAAGGAATGAACATTCACATATAACAGAAGGTTCAGGTTTTATCAAGACATTTCAACACAGTTAACTATCTATGCAGAGCTTTTAAATTAGTTTCCAAAAAGAAAAGTAACGCCTCATTTTGAATTTTATCATCTAAATCTTACCCTCAAGCAATTTTATAGTGATCCCTTGCAAAAGAAAACGGCAAACAAAGAAAAAAAAACAAACGATGAGCAATAAAACTCACAGACCACAATACACAAAATTCCCTATAACATAAATTGATAAAGCATTTTACCCAATCCAATTGAATTCCTAATCACAACACATAAGATAAACTAATAAACCATTTTATCAAACTAACCATTTAATTTTAAACATTTAAAACCAAAGAGAACCAAACGCGCATATTTGGAAAAAAAAAAAAAATGGAGTGTTTTGAGTATCTAAACCTCACCCTCATCACTTATAAAATGTAGTGGTCCCAATGGAAAGAGAACTTGCAAAACGGCATCCCAGCACAAACACAACATATTAAACAAACATATGAAGACAAAAAAAATTTTAAAAACCAACAATGAACGATAAAATTCAAATGACATAAAAATTAGTAATAAAAGTTATGAAAAAACAGACACCACTTGAGACCAAAGGGCTTGATGCCAACGACGACCCCAAAGGCAAGCAAAATCCCAAACCAATCAAGAAAAAATTAAGAGTCCATTCCTCTGTCATATTCTTTTCCCCTGTTTAGCTACCCCTAATCCCAAATGTGTCTTCGATGTTCTTTGTCCCGTTTTTCTCTCACCCTAATATCTCACCTGCAAAATCTTAACGCTACTACTTTCCCCGACCAGCAAACCCTCAACACCCTATAATGCTATGTTCTTCCAAATCTAAAACAAAAAAATGCACGCATAAACACAATAGAAATTTACGAAAACCCACAACGCAACCTAACTAAAAATCGAACAGATCAAAAGTTTCACCCAAAAGAAAACAACCCCCCCCCCCCACCAATCTCTCTTATCAAATGAATACTCCAAAAGCAATTCAATGGTTGATAACAACCCATTTAAAATTGAATCCAAAAAAAATTAAAAGCTTCTAAGATTTAAAATTGAACAAAACACAATCCATACATCATAACAAAAACTGCACACTTAAACATGCTAGAAATTCACCAATACCCACAGTACTGACCAAGATCCACAAAATCAGCCAAAAGATACAAAATACGAAAAAAAAGCTAAATCTGGAAAAGGAAAAAAAAGAAGGGGGTTGCAAATCGAAGAAGCTGAAAAGAAAAGGAAAAAGGGCGTTAAGGGAGTAGCCAAACAGCTTCGAAAGCAATTCAATAGTTGATAACAACACATTTAAATTGAACCCAAGAAGCTTCTACCATTTAAAATTCAACAAACACAATCTATACAGTTGGAAAAAAAAACAGTACTAGATGCGAGATTAGAAGAACTCTCCAAAAACAAAAAACGATTCCATCCAACAAAAGATTCAGGAAAAAGAATAAAAATGATATACCTTGTTGATAAAGAGCTTGCAAAGCTGCAGATAAAAACTGGAAAATTCGAGCAGCAACTTTTGCTGCAACTAAAAATCAAAGCAGATCAGAAAAGTACACCAAAAGCTTGAAAAAAATTAAATCACACACAATCAGAAAAATAGAAACTTCACCAGTAAACGTTTGATCGTATCCTTAACTTTTCCTAAAATCAAAAATCAAAACACATCAGAGAACCACGCATAAACCATGAAAAAAAAAATATTAAAATCCCATGTGGCAAGAAAACCAAATAATCACCAAAGAACTTTAGATCGCATATCACACAATAATGTTATTGTTAACATCCTCTTCGGTTCTATAAAATCAGAAAAAGAAAATTTGCACAGAAAACCCATTTTGATATTCATATTTAATTATAAACTCACATCATGTGGCATTTTTCAGATGCAGGAAAAAAGAAGAACAAATGAATTCCCACGAATGTAACTCTTAAAAAATAAAAAAATTAATTCTACAACAAAACCCAAAGGCAAGCAACCAAAGTTTCTCACCTTAAGCACAAATGTCTTCCAAAGCTGCAAACAAAAGTTCCAGAAAAATAAAAACCTGAACCCCTGAAATTCAAAAGAAAACCTGATTATACATCCACATGCAAAACCCGATGGCACAAAAAAAAATGAAAAAAAAAAACTAAAAATGAGAAGAGAAACAATTTCAACAGAAAATCCATTTACAAACCGAAAATCCATTTGTCAAGACCCATAACACAACCTAACTAAAAAACTCACGGATTAAAAGTTTCTCCCCAAAAACCCCATCTTTGTCATCAAACGAAAACTCCGAAAGCAACAACCCATTTAAAATTGAACCCAAACAAAATTAAAAGCTTCTAACATCTAAAATTGAACAGAACACAATCCATACAGTTGCATAAAAAAGTTGTAGATGCAAGATTAGAAGAACTCACCACAAAACTATCCACTTTGAGACCAACAAAGGCAAAGAGAGGAGAGAGCAGACGGCTACAAAAGAAGAGAAGCAAAAGAAAAGGAAAAAAAATGGACCAAAAGCAGTGAAGAGGAATCACTGCAGAAAGTAGGAAACAAAAGGAACCAGACAAAAATGTTGAAGGGCAAAGTTGAAATAACCAAAAAGAAGCAAGGTTAAAAAGGGAAGCACACAACCCTAGAACAGTGCCACCCGAGTTTGGGTTTTAGTATATATAAAATTTAAGTCAGGCTCTCTCCCCCCCTATAACCTCTCATTTCCTCTATAACCTTTCCGTCGATTCAAAATCCCTAATTCCAAAAGCCCTAATTCAGAAACTCTAATTTCAGAAATTCCTAATTCAAAAACCCAAATTCAAAATGCCTACTCGAATTTGTAATCAAACAAGTTGTATGAACTTTGGTTAAGTTTATTGCAGGAATTTCTTACCTTTTGCAGTGAAGAGGAGTGCGGACTGAAACCGAGAGCTCAATTTAGGAGCCAAATTCGGGTGGTATGGACAATGAGTGAAGGCGCGATTCAGGTGAGGAGTGAGGACTGAGAGGAATGAGGAGTGGTATGGGTAGATTCGGGATTCAGGCGACGGATGTGGGATGAGAGACAAATCGGCCAGGAGAGTGGTAAGGTTCCGTTCAGAAGATACCGAGGTGAGGTGAGGTGAGGTTTGAGTCTGAGGTGAGGTGAATGTCGAGAGACCGAGAGAGAGAGTTGACACTAGGTTTGATAACTTTGATTTATATGCAACGGTTGAGATTAAATCTCAACATAATCCAACGCCTATTAAAATTCTAAATATATATTTAAATTTTAAATAATATATATTTTTTTGGTTCGGTTTGGGATTACCGAAATCTCAAAAACTTGAGACCGATTCTCGTACCAAAATTTCAGGATCGGTTCAGTATTGGGTACCAAAATTTTCGAGAATTTCAATTTGGGATTTTTTTGATTTGGTTTCAGGAATTTTTCGGTTCGGTTTGAGATTTTTGAGAATTTTTCCCAACCCTAAGTGTTATCACTACCAAAGTGATCATCCACCCACCTTTCAATATTTTTTTTCCCTAGTACAACTATGAACAAAATGTTATTGTCTGCACAAACGTTATTGTTTACTTCGGCCGACGGTCACATGTTATTACATCCACTTATGCTAACATTTGTATCTTTTTATTGATTCCAATGACATATTAATCACATTATCTATCACCACTATAGCACATGAATTAATAATATTATATGGCTTTCAATGAGGCGAATAATCTTGTGTGGTGATGTGGTGATATGCGCTGCTGACTTTTGAACCAAGCAACTTAAGCCAAAGAAGGAGCCCTCTCGGCCTTGGGTTATGCAAATCCTATGAAGTTCTAGATCTTCTGTACTAGGTTCGGCAATATCAACTATATTTATGAGAATATAGGTCTGCCTAATTGAAATCGACATAGATACTCAAAAGAGATGAGTGTCTTAACTGGGAAATGGTTCGGCTGTCTACGTGCCGAACTCTAAATGAAACTTGGGAGTAGTTAATCATAGAGCGCTTCACTTTACCAAAAAAGCTGATGAAGTGATCTCTTTCGGCGAAAGAATCAAAAACTCTTTGTCTGCTAAGACTTAATAAAGCAAAGGATAAAGAAGATAGCACATTATTCCAACAAGCACTATTATTTATTTTACCCAACCCCAAGGTACAAAGGTTATTATAAACTGCAAAAGCGAATACAACGCTCCTCTCACAATAACATCTCACACAACACATCATTACTACTTCAAAACACATTGTGTACACCCGTTGTACGCCAAAACTTCTTACATAGGTACATCAACGTTAAAATGGGGCACCAAGCTGGAAGACTCTTTTCCATGATGGTCTGTTGCTACTGTCATCCCACCAAGCAGAGACATACTTTCTATCCCTTATCATATACTCCTTCCCCATATTAGCCACCAAGTAGTGAGTGAATGGAAGGTGGCTAAGATCAGCAAGGCTGAAGAAATCACCGGCCAAGTACTTGCTCTTCGACAGCTGCTCCTTGTAAATGTCTAGCACTTTTCCCAGCTTTTCCTCGCTCTCTTGAATGATCTTGGGGTCTGAAGGAAAACCCAAAACTGAGGCAAATAGAATGTGAAGCACCAAGTTGTTGATTGGTGGGTGGAAGTTTTATGCTTCAACTTCCAGCCATTGTTCCACAAGCCGTCTTTCCTCAACTGCAGTTCCCAGCAAATTAGTCCCTTGTGACTTGTATTTTTCTGCGTAATATCTTATGATTGCGCGGGATTCTGCGATCAATGACGATTTTATCAAACTGGAAAGATTTCATAGAGACAGACCAACGAGGTTCTATCTCAAAAGACCTTGGTGCTATTAGTAGTGGAATTACTAACCATGTGTTGTATTTTATTTTTTTAGGTTTCCAATGTCCAACTTTACATTCTTAAACAAGAACTTGTTAAATCATTGGTGTTAAGAAACCAGTGAGCAAGTGTATTGTCAAACAAAATTTAATAACTAGCTTCACAAACATTCCTATGGCAATCTGATGCTCTATACAGTTTCAAATGAAGAATTGAGTAAACCCACAAAAGGGGAATCTTAAAAGATGATAAATTTTGTCCCGCTTAGTTGGTTAAAAGCATTCACCTTTACAACTAAGATCCCAGAGTTTGATTTCTGATTTCCCTACCACTATCACTTGTAACACAAACACAAAACAATAAAAAAAAAAATCATGAGCTAGCAAGAAAGTAGAGCATACCATATAGAGTATAATTCCCATCTTGAATGAGAGGAATTGATCCAAATGGCTGCATTTAAAGAAAATATAATTTTCAGAGTGTTTAAGTGTAAGACAATCACAAACAACTGGATTAAGAGGTGATTAATTAGCTAACCTGTAATTTGAGGAAGTCGGGGTGTTTGTGCTCTCCCTTGAGGAGATTAATGGGGACTGTCTCAGAGTCCACCTCGTTCTCAACAAGGCATACCAGCACACGCTTTGGGGAGGCGTACAGAGGGCCATACACCTTCACCATCATTCTTGTGATATTCTGCAAACTCCAGCTTCTGGTTCTTCACTTATTATCATATAGACTAGCAGATGAGCACACACTCTGTGTGTATGAACAATCGTCCACCTCCTCCCACGTTCGCTTTAAGCGCAACCGCTTCAATTCATTCAAACTATCCAAAAAACATCATGATTTCACTTATATGTATGAAAAAATGATGGTGAGACAATTCCTTTTAATAAGTGCATATTTTTCATCTTATGTAAATATTTCAATATAAAATTACTATTTTGCTCTATTTATGTAAATATTGTGTATCAAAAGTGAGGGCAAAATAGAAAAAAAAAAAAAAAAGTTTAAAGATACCAAATTACTATTTTACCCTCCTCATGTCATCATTGTGTATTAAAAAATAAGGACAAAATCGAAAGAAAATGGGACAAAAATTTGACAAGCCTTCTTCTCTTAACATAATAGAATAGATAAGGCGTGACGTGGTACTAATGACACGCCACCAATTGGAGTCGAGACTTGAGGGTAGGTGGGACAGCTCACATCACATACATACATCCATCCATTTGTAGCTTCCTAAAGGTGGCAGGGGAATGACAATTATGTACAATATATGTGGCGTACAATGAAATGGAGGCCATGACAAAAACGAGAAAAAAGGAGACAACTGTGATGAGAAAGCATGTGAAATGCATTAAAGTGGAAATCCATCTGCCCTCTTTTGTATTCATATGATCCAACCAAACAGCTTTCCTCCTTATAGGCAGCCATGAGAGATAATTACATGCACGGTGTATCTTCGATTACACAACAGAATCTTCAGACCCCTTCTCGTCATACGTCAGACCAGAAGGGAGGCTACAAGTTTGGCTTAGTAAATAAGATGTGCCTTGTTGCAGAAACGTATAAGATATGTTGGAAAATATCAATATTTAGGATTACTTTAATGTTTGGTTTTTTTGGGCTTAGCCCTTTAACATTAAGATTTCGGTTTCTTAACCTTTAAGGTTAGGGCTAGTTTGTTATAAATAGATCGAAATAAGTTTGTCATGATGTAATCTCTTGTGATTTTGTAGCCGTTTCGGCATTCTTGTTTATTCTTATTAATAATATTCTTATTATTTTGTAATATTGTTAGTAGTGCACTCTGATATTCAACTCAATTTCTTTTCTTTTGATTCAACAACTGTTATTCATGAAATTTAATCTAAAATCACCTCAGCCAAAGTAGACATTAAATACCGATGGGTCAAATGATCATAGACGGAAATTCCAAGTTCAAATCACTCCTAGAAATCCATTCTACGTTTGCTCGATTTATTAGAAAGAAGTTCGTGAAACAAGTGCCAGTTCGGGAATAGGATATCCCTAAAGACAAACCATCCTATGCCCAAATTGGCAGAGTCCTCAATAAGCCACCAACTTTATAAAACGCTCCCAAATTCAGCTTAAGTGATAGGCATTCATGATCCATAAATCGATTGAAATCATTAGTTACGCATCCAGCAAAAATGCTTTATTATGTGTTGAAGCAATTTACAAGGGAACCGGATCCCCTCCTGAGCTTAGGAGGATGAGCCTCCTGAGCAGAGGATCCGAGCCCTTGAAATTTCATCCAATGACTGCAATTATTAGAACTTTTAGAGGAGCTCCTAACTTTTAGAGACCCCTTATTTGTAACCGTTATATCAAATTTTAATAACCCGTATAATTTGCCTAGGAAGCTTAGCCTCCCAAGCTCAAGAGGGGATCCAATTCCATTTACAAGGGGCAAATTACACTATTCCTACCAGTACTTTCAATTATTTATTTTGACCAGGCCCCATAATCGGTGAATTCAACGTTCATCTTACAATAACTCCTCAAATCATATTCTTAACATGACAATATTAAGTGACAGACATTGTATACACTCGTTACATGCAACAAGTTCTTCGAATACCTTAAAACGGAGCACCAAACTGGAGAACCTTCTTCCAAGATGGTCGGCTGCTAATATCATCCCACCAAGCAAAGACATGCTTTTTGTCCCTTATCATATACTCCTTCCCCATACTATTTGCCAAGTAGTGGGTGAACGGAAGGTGGCTAAGATCAGCAAGGCTGAAAAAATCACCGGCCAAGTACTTGCTCTTCGACAGCCTCTCCTCTCCTCGTAAATGCCCAACACCTTCCCAAGCTTCTCTTCACTGTCCTGAATTATCTTCGGGTCTGAAGGAAATCCTAACACCGAGGCAAACAAAATGTCGATCACTAATTTGTCGTGTGGCGGGTGATAGTTGCTTGCTTCAACCTCTAGCCACTGTTCCACAATGCCTCTTTCCTCAATCGTCTTTCCAAGTAAATCCCTTGTGAGCTGTATTTTTCTGCGTAGTACCTTATGATTGCGTGTGATTCTGCCGACCAAATTTGACCGGTTTTATCACAAATGTTAGATCATTATATTTATGCAGAAAAGAAAAAGGAGAATAAGGCTTTCATCAAACAATTTGCACAAAATTTCTTGCTGCACAAACATTCAAATGTTTATTTGATGCTTCACACATATTTAAAATCAAGTCCAAATTTTATATATCAGGATGCAAATTTTTTCTTTATAATGTCAGTTGCTAATTCTTTAGTTTCTAATTGGGTTGCTATCTCTGTTCGGAGATAAGTTTTTTTTTTTTTTTATGCAGCGTAGCAAATTTAACTTTGCTACCCAAATGATAGCTGCTTTGGAGATACTCTTATTTGAACTTATGCTTGACTGGCGAAAGCCAATTGTAGAGGTCTAGCATCATATTATAGGAACATCCCCACCCACCCCCAAGGACCAAGGTGCCCTAAATCTCCATAAAATATGTCTTCAACTAGGATTATAATAAAAACCGAATGATGCTCCTAAGACAGCCTTATTATAAAAGAATGAGTTGAAAAATGTTTGAAATTAGTTGCATAAACTTGAAAATTACATCAAATTTCTTGGAATTGTGGCATCTTTGTACATATAAAGAACTATTATGTTGACAAATATCTTAAAGCATGTCGTAATGCTTAATTATCTTTTGATACTGTCAAACTAGTATTCTAATGTAAGAAAAGAAACTTCTCTCTTTCAATAGAGATTTTCTCTTACAATCATGTTTTTTAATTTCAATGGTATGCCTGGACCAATTAATAATTGTTACGTGTTTACAAAATGAAACCGTCCAATAAATCTTTAATATGTGATGAAATGGTTGCAAGAGAGAATCGCTCTTTCCATTGATATAGTCTGTTAACACCCAAACCATATTAACGAGCAATTAGTTTTGTCATGTGCCAAGAAGTTAAAGTCCCACATCGGAAAATTAAGAACCTCACAGAATTTTGAGAGAAATTTCCAATACCTCTGTACACATTATAAGCAGTTCAGTATGCTGCCATAGCATGACTATGTTGACACAGTAATAAAACTTTCCAGAATCCACTTCATTGGCTTTTTGATGCAAAAGCCAATTACCAATTTCACCATGTATCCAACAAACTTCAAATCTAGGGTTTTTCTAAAGAGCTCATTTTTCTCACCACAACAAGTATCTTGTGGAGCAAGCAACAAAATGGGATAACACCACCACTGTCATCAGAACGAAACCACTGATTTCGGCTGCGATGAAGATTGCAACTGAGAAAGGGCTGTATCGCTCTCATCATTCTCGTCAAAAACAATCGGCTTCCCCTCAATATTTTTTCTGCAAAACCAAATAGAGTTCATTGTCAGATTTTCTGCCAAGGAAAATCAATGCTTCTTTAGCACTGAAGAACATTGTGAAAACAGATTGCAATGCCTACCTCTGAGAGATGAAACTCTCTTCGGACAATGCCTTTTCCAATCTTTCTTCAAATGGAGTTGCGTGCCAACTCACTTTCTGATCCTGCAAATTCAAAATCTACCTTCACACACTGCTTTAAAGATCGAAGGCTGAAAAAAGAAGTAGAAGGCAGTCAAACAAACCTCCTTGTATTTATTTGTTGAGTTTGGAATTCCGTTCCCATCCCACCACTTGGGTGAGACACGAGTAGGCTTATCTTCGTTCCAGTGAGTAGCAACAAGTCCAATGATAGGCCTGTCCCCAGGAGTTCTTCCAAAATGACGAGTTTGGCTGGGAACATAACCAAACTGATTGTTGTTATCTTGAGTTACTGGCTTCAACCAGGTGCACAAACTTGATTCCACATTGACCTCTTGTCCAGATGAAATTTGTTTCGCCCGCTCTTTTGATATAGGAGTTGCATTTCCCCAGTGGTTAAGAGATTCTCTTTGCTCAACAGAAAGTCCATGTGAGTTAGGATCTTCGTCTTTCAGTACATTCTGTTGAGAGATGCCGTCTCCAGGGTTTTGCACTGAATACACGTACTGGGACCTGATTCGAGCCTTTCCATTTGGAAAGTTTTCCGGGTTTGCAGGGAAAACGGTTCCTGGTGTCTGCATCTCATCAGAAAGGGTTAGTGGGGTTGGATAAACTGAAGGCTTTGATATGCTCTGTTTTCCTGGAGTTTCACATACTTTGAAACTCTGGTTATAATTTTCGGATGAAGAACCTCTGGAGGAATTTGTATCATTATTGCAATCAAAGCGAACAGCCTTGCTTCTGAACTGGACATCTGGAGTTGTAATATTCTCAGTCCGATTAGTATGACTCTTGACTGTTGAATCAGTACCTATTCCGCTGCCTCCAGAAGAGCTGATTGTGGTCCTACCATTATTCTGTTGGTTCGATACAAAACTATAGATACAAAATGAAATTGGGAAAATGTCAGTTATATTTACTTGTATTAAATAGTTCCTCAAAGTCCAGGCAGCAGACCAACAAAAAAAAAGACCAATTTTTCTCTCCTAAAAAAGAATGAGATGGCCAAAAAAACTTCATTGCTAATACTAGTACAGAGTGAAATTCTGGTTTAGCAAACCTCCCATCCCATCTATAAGCTGCAAATGTACTAATGCTCAAGCATTCAAAACAGTTATAAGTAGAACCTGCTAGGCGTTTGCTCAGAAGGACCTGAACCCTTTCCCCACTCTTCATTGAACTTCATAGGCGTAGGGGGCTGATCTGGTTGATCCAACTCTTGCTGAAGATTTTTAATGGATGTGTTTGGAAGCTGTGAGTTGAATTTTGGAGGCTCTGAATCTCTATCACGATGGGGTGAGCCATTCAACCTTGAAGACACTTTACGAATTTCAGCTGGTGTTTCAGCTATGGTGCCACAAGCTTTAAGAAACTTGGCCTGCAGAATAAGGTGCAGTGCATAGGTAAAAGCATTATCTTTTTAGCAGTACGCAAAATTCATATAACTAAAGACTTAATCTAGAAATGTATCCAAAACAGTGTAACCTAGAAACAATGACATTACTTAAACATACTGCACAAGACGGGAGTCAAAGCTCCACTGACTTCCACAAGTTCTAACTTCTGAAGCAACACTTTGGAACTGAAGCGTGTCGCTCCAATTAAACACCATGTACTGGAAAACAAAGTCTTTGTTTCAGAGTATAAATTGGAGTACATGATAACCATGTAGCCTTATTTCACTTCAAGCGATTGAGATAAGGACGGTAAGGTTATAACATTTGAAACCACCTAGAAAATTGATTGGCAAAAATGGGCATTTGAATTATGTAATTTCTGAGCATTACGCATAGAAAATAATTTAATCTGAACTGTTATACTTAATATATTACCTACATTGAACTTTGAATCCGCTAGCTCACAAGGGAAAACGTACCTCATTCCTGCGCTCCTTGTCAATTTGTGGAGACACATAAGAAGCACTTTCCCTATCTTTGATTGGAGAACCTTCTTTCTCTTTGAGAGTTATATACAAATCAGACCAGAAAAAGTAAGATCAGCAACGAGATATATAGATTCAGATCGAATAAATTAGTTTATGTGCATGGACTAAAGATAATCTACCTTCAGCTAAAAATAGAGAAGACAAACGGTTTTGAGATATCACAACTTCCTGATAAAATAAAGGAAACAGAAAAACAACAAATCAGTGTAAAATTATACATAACCCACTAATCTACTGTTTGGCAGCTGAGAAAATGCAATTGAAATAACGATAAGCAACATTTCATTGTTGGGTTATTGATTTGGGGAAAATAGAGGGCGCAAAAGCTGAATCAGGAGGTGGGAAATGGAAAGATGGAGGAAGAGATGAGAGGAGGAAGTGATTGAAGTGGCAGGATAAATTTACACAGGGATAAAGGAAAAAGAGAACCACCATATAGGGTGGAAAATCCATCACCACTATGGATGGAAGAGCCATAAAAGTTGGAAAAAGGAGAGGTGCCGCCGCATAGGGCAGCGGAAAAACCAGAACGAGTTCAGGGCTTTTTAGAAGAGAGCTTTTTTTTTTGGATTCCAATTTCAATGATACCGGCAGCACCCAGATCAAAATTGAAACTACCAGAAATCTAAAATCTTTAATCTTAGGCTAAATTCAAGATCAAGATTAGTACTTTAACACTCAATTGACTCTAATTTCTCCAATTTTCACAGAAACACTGGTAATTCGCAGCAGAGTAAAAATGGCCCCTGAAAAGAAAAACATTTTCCCGGACTTTCTCGGGAACCAAACGGAAACCTTACCGTCTGGGGGTTACGAGAGGACTGAGAAACAAGGTGAGGCCGAGAGCGAAGGTGGCGATCGTCCTTGACCCGAAAGCAACCGAAGAAGCAGCCCATTACTCGCGAAATCGACCTGTCAAGAAACCTCAACGCGTATCTGCACAGATGCCCTATTCCGCGCTTCAACAGCGAGCATAACATCGATTTCGTAAAATAAATGGGGAAAAAAAAGGGAGAATCCAAAACCCTAGCTTGTTCTTGGTTTTTCTTTTTTAGGTGAATTATTGATTCAGGAGAGAGAGAGAGAGAGAGAGAGAGAGAGAGAGAGGGAGAGAGGGAGACGAATTGGAGTTGATGGGTCGTTTTTGAATTTTGAACAAACAAAACGAGGGAAACGGATACGCCTCGCCAGACGGGGTGCGTTTTGGGTGTGAAGGTACTCGATCGAGTGCGAGGTACAATGTACTCGCTCTGTGGACGTGAAACGTGGAGCGAGTTGTGATGATTTTGTAATAATGTTAAAGTATTGGGGCTTAAATGGAAATAAGCTTATGGGGGAAGCGCGAGTATTTGTTGGATATGGAAGTGAAGGGTGTAGGGAATTAAGGATGCTTAAGTAAGAATGTCTGTGATTAGAGGTTTAATTGTTTGGACATATAACGTCTATCTATGTATCTCTGTACAAATTGTCGTTACTATTTTCCTTCTTCTGTTTTAATAACTAGATACATAGCACTTACTACGGTACTGATATTCTTCTTCATTTGTAAGTGTGAAATCTTAGACTTGATTCTCATCAAATGCGAATTTGAACCACATTATTATTAGCTCATTCTGATACTAAGTCCACTCTCTCTCTTTTAGTGTAGATAATCATTTATAATAACAATAATAATAGGGAATTGTTATTGGCATTCCAAAATTCTCATTCTACACTCCAAACTTTCTATATTTAGAAAGAAAAATACACTTGTGAGAAGTGTAGAATGAAAATTTTGGAATACCAATAACACTTCCCATATAATTAGATTCATCAAATATAGAGTAATAAGTGGATCTGGATCGTCCAATATGTACAAATAAAATATGAAAATATTCACAAATAAAACTAATTACAAATAGGTTGAAAAAATTGAGCTGTTATTGAATTTAGTCGAAGTTTCTTTAATTTTTAACTTTAGTTCAATTTCTCAATTTTTTTTTTCATTTTTACTCAAAATTTTAATTTGAATATTTAAATATAAAAATCAAACCACTTTCATGAAAAATAGTTAAAAGAAAATTTATATGTTATTATGTATAATTCCTATGTCACAAATTGATAAAATACAATTAACATGTGATAAATGTATCTACAAAATTAAATAAAAATTATCTAGCTATCACCATTTGTGATTACAAATTTTTCATTAAAAAGAGAATATGAGGGAGACCGAATTGACAATAAATATATAAAGTGGATTGTATCTTGGTTAGTATGTTATTCATTTTTTATTTGTTTGCTTATGTTGAGAGTGTGAATCTCACATCAAGAAAAGAAAGATTGTGCACGGACTTATAAGTAGTTGGACTACTTCTCATATTGCCAATTAGTTTTATGATAGAATCTTAACTTTCTTCAGTTTAAAATGTGATACTCTCTATATCTAATACGAGAATTTGAACTTAAATTTAAGGGAGGAACACAACACACCGTCCTGACTAATTGGCCTAATTAAACCACACTTGTAGTAGGCTACCAATTGTTGATTGTTTCAACAAAAGTAAAGCTAGCCCCATGGTTTTCTTACCCCTTTTCATGATGTGTAATATGGTGCACTATGCAAGTGCGAAGTAGCTGTGTAGGGTGGCATGTCATACAAACAAAGGACATGAAAAGCAAAGGTTACCACAATACATACTAAAAGTTACTTTCTTTCAAGTCATTGGGTCTGAGATCACGAGGGAGACCTAATTATCCAAAGTTCTAAACTATGACATGTTGAAGCCAAGTTGTCCATTGCACCATTAGCTTAGTGAAGACGAGGTTTTCTCTTCTGGGCACATGTGTGCATCAAGTGCGCATGCACCAAACACAATCAAATCCCATCCTTCCATTTTCATAGCTTAAAAACGAGCGGATGTGATGAGTCTGGTCCGCTCATGCAGTGGCTAAGCGAAGATTTCATGTGTGAGAAGGTTTCTCACATACATAGGTAATTTGAATTCAGAACGTGAGAGATTTGAGTAATTTGCATAAAAATTGATAGACCCTAAATTCAACAAAGAGAACTAAAAACATTACACAAACCCATAAACTCAAATATGAGGTAAAGAGTAAGCAAGAAATTTTAAAAATATAAGTTAAAGCCAAAGAAAAGTTGATAGAATGACGAATGGAAGGGAAGATTGCACCGTTTTAAGAGGGATTGAGAGAAAAATGAGGTATGGCTTGGAACAGAAAATAATTTAGATTGAGAACACACTTGAATTTTAAGAAAATTAATTAGACTGATACGTAGTAGTAAAATCTTTGTAGTAAGAAGAATAAAAAGAGAATAAATATGAATCATTCTGGCCCCTTAGTGGCTCACGCACAAACCATGCACATGGCGCTATGCTTGGGGGAGAAAATGTATAATGAGGGCAGTACAATTAATTGAGTAATTGGGTCCACAAAGGTGTTTTAGCTCATTCTTGAAGAATGGTCCTAGGCCGAACTATACTACGAAACTTGGGCCTAATGAAGTCTTGTTTTTCGTTTTCATTTTTTCCAGACTGTTTTTAATGTAATCCAATTTAGGGAGAGGATTGAATTAGGACGTAACAAAGCGAGCACATTACCTGCCCTTTTGACCTTTTTATATCAGATCTTCTAGGTTCTAGTTGTCAAATTTTCGAAACTAGTGAGCTATATATACGGATGTGACTTTTCAAATAACCCACGTGATAATTTGAAGACTAAAAGTTGTTGATTCAAAACTTTGTTCCAACTTACTGCACAAAATTTGGTATTATTTTAACTATATATCTCATCATGTGACCTTCATTTTTTATTATTTCATTTTAATATACCTTCACAAAGACATGTTTGAATAATCTGAAAAGCAAAAAAAAACATTTGAAGAGTGGGATAGAGACTTTTCAAGATTTCATGTGTGAGAATGTTTTTCACATATATATAAGTAATTTGAATTCAGAACCTAAGAAATTTGAGTAATTTGCATAAAAATTGATAGACCCTAAATTCAACAAAGAGAACCAAACACAATACACAAACCTAGAAACTCAAATATGAGGTAAAGAGTAAGCAAGAAAATTTTAAAATATAAATTAAAGCCAAGGAAAAGTTGATAGAACAACAAGTGGAAGGGAAGATTGCACCGCATTAAGAGGGATGGAGAGAAAAATGCGGTCTGGCTTGGAACAGAAAAGAGTTTAGATTGAGAACACACTTGAATTTTAAGGATATTAGACTAATATGCATCAATAAAATCTGTATAGTAAAAAGAAGAAATAAGAAGAAGAATAAAACAGAAACCATTTTGATCCCTTAATAGCTCTGCCACTGCACTTATGTGCAAACCATGCATATGGCGCTATGCTTGGGGGGAGAAAATCTATAGTGAGGATAGTACATGATAACTGAGTTATTAGGTACACAAAGGTGTTTTAGCTCGGTCTTGAAGAATGGTCCTAGGCCGAACTATACTATGAAACTTGGGCTAATAAAGTCTTGTTTTTCGTTTTCATTTTTTCCAGACTATATTTTCAATGTAGTCCAATTTGGGGAGAGCATTGACTTAGGACTAAACAAAGCGAGCAAATTGCCTGACCTTTTGAACTTTTTTATATCAGGTATAATAGGCTCTTGTTGTCAAATTTTCAAAACTAATGAGCTATATTTACGGCCTATATAGTTATGTTGTCGTCAGAATAGTGTAAATTTCATCATTTTTATTGAAAGAAATTATTAACATCCAAATTTGAATATGTGCAAGTGTGAAGTCAAAAATAATCATAAGGCGACACGTGAATTTTTGGATAGAAGATGACAAAATTACCCTTGAGGCATACCAAGATTCCTACGCACGAGTAGCAGACAATCATCCCTCAACCAAATCAAAAGTGTCCAAAATAAGTAACAGTTCAAAATCCATCTCATCAGAGCAACTCCACCGTTGGAGTTTGCTCGGGGGACAGTGGACCAAATAGGGCTCCATAGCCCGACAGTAGTCCTTCAGCGTTGGGAGCCCGAGGTGGACCTGACGCAGGGCTGACGTCAGCTTGGCGTCAGTCACAATTTTAAATTTTTTCTGTTAGGCGTGTGGGGGCGCATCAGCAGACAAGTTTCAGACCCTAGGGGCCCGTGGTGTAGTCGGCCTCAGTTACTGTTGGGAAGCAACGTGGCTTCCCACAGTCCGTTAGATCTCAACGGCTCTTTAAAATGGACCGTCAGATATGCAACGGTAATAAAAAAAATTCTGATTTAATATCAACCGTTCAATCTGAGATTGATGGTTGATATTAATTTGCTTTATAAATAAAAAAATAAAAGAAAAAATAGTTTTAAAATTAAGAAAATTTACCGTTGTGACACGTGGCACAATCTGGAATGTTGGAATTCAATTTTTTTTATGTCCAACGGCAGAGATTAATTAGTTGAATAAAAATTTAAAAAAATTGTAAAAAATTCGAAAAAAAATTTGAAATTTTTTTAAAAAAATTGTTTTTACTTTTCTATAAATACCTTCTCATTATTATCTACCTTACACCACAATTTCATATTTTCTCAACTACTTTCAATCACATTCCTATCTTTATCTCAAAGTTTCAATCCATTTTTTTTTAACAAAATGACTACTGATGCAGGTACGAATTGGTTGCTTCTTGAAGATGTTGCGTTGTGTACTAGCTGGGTTGAAGTTACTCATAGTTCGCTTACGGGTAATGAGATGTAGTTGCGAGAAATGTGGAGTCTTATTCATACCAATTATTTTGAGAAAATTGGTGGGAAAAGAACCAAATAATCGATGTCTAGTCGTTGGAAATTACTTAGCCAATCGTTTAGTACGTGGTGAGACGTCTTGGCACAAGCTAATACTAATATTTGAAGTGAGGAAAATTACTCGAATCAAGTAACAATATATTATTTATTTGTTTGTACTATACCCAAATTTACATTATAATTGTTTGTTTGTATTATCTATTTGTTACCTACTTACATTATAATTATTTGTTTGTATTATTTATTTGTTACCTACTTACATTATAATTATTTGTTTGTATTATTTATTCATTACCTATTCTCATTATAATTATTTCTTCTTCCGTATTGTGTAGGAACTTCAAGCA